CAACTCAGTCAAGCCACGAAATGCTAGTTGGACAAGAAGCAAAGTCATCAACTGAGGGACAAATCAGTACCAAAAAATTCAATTTTTCAAAGGCATAATGACACATTACGAGTAGAAAATGGAAAGTAAATAGCACCTTCAGAGTTTTGATGGATACAGAAAACTACTTCCAAAAGTTAATTTCCAAAACACTCCAAAAACACTAAGTAGCTGTTTCTAAGATTTACTTCCATCTTAAAGAAACAAACTGAACAAAACAAAAATGTGATCTTCATTAGTAACTCAATGCAGACAGCCTGGGCTGCAAATTTGCCCATAGAATCCCAACATTGAAATAGTATGCTTCATCTGTTTCACTACTTAGAGGGGCCATGTTCTTTGAACACAATACTTAAAATGAGTCTGAGAGCTATCTAGCAAATGCACACTCAAAAACTTTCCTACAAAGATATTCGCGAAGACAACACACAAACAGCATAGCTGTCATAAGCAGTAAAGCATTAATTTACCTCTTTAGAATCATCAATTCTCTCGAAATAAACGAAAGCAAATCCTCTGGATCGTCCAGTCCGTTGATCATAAACCACGTTGACACCAGTCAAAGGTCCATAACGGGAAAAGACTTCACGCAAGTCTCTCTCAGTGGTATACAAACTGAGACCAAACACTCCAAGACAAGTATTAGGATCTGGATTAGCCTGGTAAGACAAACATTCAACTCCAATTAAGTTAATCAAAAACAAGCTATATCACTCTTTCATCAAAGTTTCCCATTTTCAATTCAGTTATCAAAAAAATTTTAGGTCAAGACAATTAAATGTACTGTTTATTACAAAGCTTAAAACTTTAAGAGTTAACATTCCAACCTTAAGATATTTTCAAAAAGCAATTGATTTTTTTTTTAAATGAAGACAAAGGTGAACTTTTCATGGTGAAAAATTCCAACTTCCAATCAGAAAAATGACGCACTCCGATTACAAAACAGATTTAGAAAAGGAAGCTGTTTTAGCAGTTTTTCCCCCTTGAATCACCAATAAGCTGCAGACATGATATGGAAGTCCATGGTGTGAACAGATGAGCCTACCTAAATTCCTGTCTTTGGCCCTTCTGGAAGGTCACCACTGGTACTAAACCGTGCACGCTGCCTCCTGTTTCACACGCTAAATGTATCTGAGCTCCTAAACATAGACAGCTGAATAATAACTTTGCTTCTGCTAAAACAGTTTATTTCTTCTCCCCTCAACATTTCCTCTTCAACTACACTGAAAGTCAGGATTTCCATTTGAAAGTTTTCCTCAGTCCAGTTGCAAACTGGATCAAGATCATCTGCTTCGTTCATCTAGACAGTTACAAGTACTGAAGTATTCTGTGAAACAGTAACCCAAAAGGCATGCACAAATTTCTAGAGCAGGGCTCTTGATTCCTTAAGATGACGTGGGAAATGAAATCATTTACATATTTCACTTTGACTAAATCTAAAGTGAGTCAAATATAAAATTGTACAGTATGTACTGTAATTCATCTTTCTACCAGATTCAGTGTTTTTATGATATTTAGCTTTTCCACATGCCATAGGTTATATAGTGCCATTTGCACTGTAAGAATTATCTTGACCAAAATTAGTATTTTTTCAGTTAAGCTTCTCACACCTGTTGTACAATTACACCTGTTGAAGCAATTTAAAATAGCAGCAATATGAGAGAGATTTAATGTTTCTGCTAAAATAATAACTGAAAGTTTACATAGTTGAAATTTATATTTCAGTTTCAGATTTCGAAGCCACAATGCACAGTAATTTATGCCTCAGAGCTTGCCTTTCAACCTGACTCAAAGAACGTATTGGTTTAGCTCTTTTGTTCTGTTTTTCCCAAGCCCATTCTGCAGCCTCTGAGATCAAGATGACTTTTTTTTTTTAAAAAGGTAAAAACCTCGCATTTCAAAGTTTAATTCTACGCAAAGAAAATTCTGCTTTAAATTACAGAGTCATGAAACAAATTCAGACTAAAAGTCAAGGAAAAAATATTCCATGGTCTCTAGCCAAAATGGGGGGAGGAGGCAGGGAGGGAGGAGGGAAAGTAACTAAACCAAGACAGAATTGTGAAACGTACAAGTAGGTTACTGGGTTTTAACCTGCGGCATGTAGACACTGAGAAAAAGAGCCCTGAGAAACAGCCTACAAAACATAACCAGGAAAAACATATCTAAGGGCAGTAGTCTTAAGTTCACCCTACAGGGCTCTACAGCTCCGCAGGAAAATGCTCAGGACTCCAGAGAACAAGAGTTTGAGACCTACGGCAATAGAAAATAATTGTCAACTATAGCTGACATCTTTTTCTCTATGCAAGAGGTAGAAAGTATTTGAACAGTTTCCTCCACGTAGGAAGTAGCAGTCTAATAAGCAGTTCTTTTGACAAGAACGCTTGTTTTTAAGAATTTTAAGGCTTTGCTCACTTACTTCCAACCGAAGAGGCTCAATCAGTAAATCAGCTTCTCATAACAGATCTGCACCATAGCTTAGCCCTCCTTATACACATTACGCTTTGTCTCAATGCTTTTCTGAAAGGAAAAGGATTCTTCTTCTCTCTATAAATTATATATATAAAAGACTGCCAACCGAAAGAATGCTACTGTACACAGAAAGCTCAGTGAGCAGATAGCATTGCAAGTCACTCAGCTTCTTGGGAGCAGCACTTGGATTCAGCCAAGGATTTCTTAACGAAAATGAAAAAATCTGGTTGGCGCATCAAGTAACGTCTCCTGGTCACTGGGACATCCAGTGATACATCCAATTCCTTTGTTCTGTTAAACAAGGGCACGCTTACAAATGGGTGAAAGACTGAGATAAAATTACAGTTTGCTGACATATTGAATTCCCCTTCCTGTCTTCTTCCACTGAGACACTGAAGAGAGATGAAGTAAGTGACTTAACCAAACATTCATACTATCTATCTTCATTTTTACCATGTTATATTTCAAACTGTTAGGGTTTTTTCTACTTTCAGAGTTTTTGCACAGTATGCACCGCAAAAAATAAGATTCCCAGAACACCTGGTCTATTTGAAATTTTTGCAGTTAGCCGAAGTTCAAACTTCAGTCATAAGACATGAAATCTTCTACAATTCATTATGTCTAATTGTCAACTTATCATTTGAAAATTTGTATCATTTAATTAAGCAGGTAAGTCTTTACTCTTGCTCCCATTTATTTCATCCTATCTGATAATTTAGTGGCATTAAAAGCTACATACTCCGTTTATGACTGAAACTCTTACAAGTCTAATCACACTTCTCAATCTTTTAAATTGGTGGTGCTTCTTTCAAGTTCTTCTTGCTGGACAAATCCCTGCATATAAGCACTTCTGTGTTGCCCTTCTTTATATTCCCCTTACTCATGAACCCTTTTCTGAGGTAAGATAAGGTGTGCAGACTGCTTCTCGGTACTTGAATAATGGGTGGCAGTTACATCATCACTGGAGGGATTTCTCCTGTGGAGGACTAAAAGCCAGTCTTTATGTTAGAGTTTTGTGCTGTCTCCCATCAGCACAGCATCCAAGCTCCTTTTACAAGGTCAGCAGAAGTAGCAAAATCACCACCATTTTTTCTGATGCCTTTAGAACCTCTTCCATTAAAAGATAAAAGTCTGGTTGGTTAGAGCTTAGGTTTGACACTATTAGAACTATTTCTTAGAACTAATGTGGAAATCACTGTGAAAAGGACTGTCATGTTATAGAGTCATTCCCAAGGAAAAAAAAGATTTCTTCACAGAAGAAAATATTCTTGTGTTTCCTAAAGTAGTAAAAGGGATTCACTTGTATTTCTCCAGGAAATCTGCTAACCCTTTTAAAATTCAGTTATTCCTGCCAATTTTTTTCAAGACATTAGGTTCATGTTTGCTATATACCACGATTACACACTGGGAACCATCTGCAAAAAGCATAACTATGAATGTTGCTTCACAACAGTTTAAGCCACTGTACAGTACTGCTGCTGTAGTCTTGCTCTCTTCCACACACTCGTCTTCTCCCTCACACTGACGCTGATCTGATTTTGGTGAGCTGCCTCACAGAACTAAGCCTGCAAAAGACCCACCAAAAGACCCACCCTCTTTTTGATAGGATTAGTAAAAAGATTCAGGGAAACTGAACCAGATGGAAACTGTAAGGATCAAAAAAAATACCACAGCCCTCACAAAGGAAGAGGCAAACCTGAAGCAGCAATCTCTTACATCATCTTGAATTGATGTGGAACCACAAGCTAAGGCACTGAAACTCATTATAAACGGGGATTTTGGGGGAAAGCCCTCAGAATGACACAGCACTAACATATTAGATCTTGGCTATTTTACCTGTACTTCTTCCTGTCTGTACAGAGATGTTGGGTTGCTTCTCATTTACGTTTTGAGAGGCTTACTGATCCCTTTCCTAAGTGTAAAATATTTTGGCCTATTAAGATTTACACATTAGCTAAAAATACGGACTACACTAATGCAAGTAACAATTGTTTCGTTGATACTCAGCCTTGGTGAACATGACATACTCTGCTGCCAGTGTGTCTTCTCCTGTTGGACATTGGAGAATGACTACGGCTCCTTCGACGACGGTATTCTGGTGTGTATGATCTGCTTCGAGAACGTCTCCTATGGGAATGAGAATGGGAATGGGATCTGGATCGAGTGTAACGTCTGTGCGAATGTCTTCTGGACCTGGATCTTCAACAAAGAGAAAGCTTTTAGTTAGGTCATATAAATACCATGTATTGAATTGTAAGCCTTACATTTCCCACAGAAAATCTTAAATTCATTCTGTAGAGGCTTGCAAGAAGTCAAGTCGTTTAGTTTCTCCTACTCTGTGCATCTAAAGATTTCAGATCTTTAATAACCTGGCCAGTAGCAAGATTTTTAACTCAGAGAGTGCTTCTGGCATAAAATGAAGATGATATTCACGATAATTTTTAGGAAGTTCAAGGTTTAAACTTGAACCTGTGAACTCACACAGTGATACAGAAACCAGGAATACCACAGTGTAAATTACTGTCTTGGCTGAAAAAAATGAGAAGATCTAGCAGTACTACAGAATCTACAGTTGAAGTTTGTCTAGGCTCTAAAATGATTCAATATCAAAGAAACAAACAAAAAATCCCACTAGTTAGTTCCTAAAGTATTTCGTTGCAGACATCCAGTCAATGATAAACTCTGTTCTAATCAGCGTCGTCCTGTTAAGCTACACGCTTTCAGGCAGGCACTATATTCTAACAGCAGGTGTTAGCTATCTGGCTAAACATTGCAATAAGAGAAGCTATAGCATTAGGCTGAACTTCGGTACTTTTGAGCAGAATGACTCTTTCTAGACTGCCCTGGTGAAATTAATAGAGGAAGACGGATTATTGCCTGTGCAGACACATTATTGGGGTAGAAAGGGAGAGAGATGGAAATGTGTAGCTCTGGAAGATTCATTTAAACCTAAAGCTCCTGTAAACTAAGCAGTCTTCCATGCCTACTTTAAGCTATACTTTATTTTGTCTTTAAAGTCTCCAATTGAAGTATTTCTAGATCCGCTCCAAGTAGCCTGTCCCAAAGTTTCAACAGTTACAGAGCTTACCCCTTTTATCTAACACAGTTACCTTTGCTGTAATTTTCACGTGACCTTTTTTTTCTTCCTCCTTTTTTTGGCGGGGGTGGGGGAAGGGAAGAAGGGGCCACATGCAAGAAGAAGAAAACAATTCATTCTGGGGGAAGGAGGCATAAGCTTTTGAGAAATTAAGAGATGTAACCTGTTATCTCTAACCTGTTATCTCTCTCCTGGAAGAGATAAATCCAGTCATTTAATTTGCGATTTCTACGCTACTTCTACTTTCCGTACTACTTTCTCTATACGTACACATGCTTTATTACTGATGGAGTCCTTCCTCTACATATCCACTAACATGCAAGTGAACAGAGTCTTGTTAATACATCCCAGAAGATTTGTACTTTTTACAACAACAAAACAGTCTCAGCGATACATCTAAAAGAACAGCCATGGGTAATAATACTGAATTAACCTGAACTACTTCCTGGACATACCTTGATTTTGATCTTGACCTAGAGTGCGATTCAGAATGTTTGGAAGCCCTCGATGGACTGCGAGATCCTGACCTGCTCTCCGATTTTACACGAGCAGGACTCCCAGCTGGAGATTTTGACTGGGAGCGAGACTCCTAACAAAGAAGACAGTATTACAAATGGTATTGGTTGTACAAATGCCTAACTCCTAACATTTAAAGTACAGTAATTCTATTATATTGATTGCTCCTGAAAAACAAATGGTTAGGCAATACCCTCCAGAACAAATTTCAGTTTGCTAACCCACTGTTAATATTGTATGCTCTCCTCAAATAGTTCCCTGCTTGAACCAGATCACCAATTCTCTATTAACTAAGTAATCATGCAAATTCATCTACAACTTGATCATACAGACACTGGAACATAAACCATACATTTACTTAACCTAGGACCCATTCATTCTTCCAGATTCTTTTAATTCTACTTCACTCTTGCTTTCTACTTTTCTTCATTCTTCATTGAGTTTTTCATTTTTCATACTTCGTGTATTCTTCCCCAATTCAAACAATTCATTATAGCCTTAAAAAAACATTCAAGTGCTTCTATCTGACCAATCTTCTGTTCAATTTTTTCCCCCATTCAATTTTAATTTTCTGATCTTTAATACTTTTCATTAGCCTTCTTTTATCTTGATTTATCTTCCACATTCTTGGAAAAAACTCTTCAATCTCTTCACGAACATTAACCTTAATGGAAAAAGAACATTTAGTATATTTAAGCACGTGGGGATTATAAAACTCTGCTGGAGTTCAGATGTTATCTACCAAATTGAAATGCCAGCAGGTAAAGTGCAAGAAACTATTTTATAAAACAATTGAAAAAAAAATCCTTAAAATTGTATAAGTGTCTATGTTCTAACAATGAGCTTACTGAGTTCTCAGTGTTTTACTGTATTTTCAAAGCTACCCTCCTCCCCTTTCAGATTTTTGGTAAGATACATAGATGTACTAAAAACTAATTAGCACAAATATATTAAAATTATTGATATCAGTAAGTGTGGTTTTCCCCTCCAAAGTAACAACTTTGTACTTCTCAGTATTACATAACCCAAATTCTACTCTTACATATTATTACTAGACACTCAATTCAACAGAACAGCCAAAGATTTCCAACCAAAACCTGTCTATATACATACTTACTCACATACTACATGCACATAGATATATATGCAGGACAAATTATTTTTCTTCCTAAGTTTTCTTCCTCATTGTTATCCTGTTTTCCTTGCATATAACTTAACTCATATATAGCAAGATGTATAATAGTGTATTTCAAAGCAATCCATTAAAAGAAAAGACAGGAGATATTTTTCTTGCATAATAATGCACACAATAGAAAAATTAGGAAAACAAGCAAACAAAGAGCAGGTTAGGGTTTCCTCCTGTTTTAATGCACAATGTTTCTAAGGAGTTCAGCTATACAAAAAAAACTAAGAAAGCGTATGCTATATACTCCTGTAACTTCAAAAAAATTTACAGAATTCTTAACGAAAAAAAATGCAGAGCAAGTTCCCTTTCCACAAATGTAACATTTTATTCTGATTTTCATCATTTCTCCTCCTGCTTATCCTCACCATGTTTTTCTCACTTGGTTTCTTACTCTATCCATGTCCAGGTTCAGATTTTCCCATCTGCAGTTCAGTTCAAAGTACTGAAGAATTTAAGCCCTTTTCAAAGGACTCTTTCTCCACGTTTTAAGACAATAAAATCCACTAAAAATAGAACTTGAAAGACCCCTTACTAGCATCACAGCTAAAGCTGTACCCCTACTTCTCCACTTTACCTTGATAAAAGGACAAGAGATATATGGAGAATGTCACCTACTGGGATGAAAGGCATGACAAACTTATCAATGAAGACTAATTTCAAAGTTCAGTTGTGACATGTGGACCATAGTATCAAGTCTGCATTACAGGCTGCTCTTCCTAAACTGGCTATCCACTGATCTAGCTCCATGACTTTCACTGAAATAGAGGGAGGGATGTGCATTTACAATATTACCAAATCAGTATTTGGGTTTTTTTTTTTTAATTTTGTATCTGAAATTCATTTAAAAATACATTTCCTTTTAGCACCACTAACATGCTTTTTATTTACCTCTTCTCTATTTTTGTACTCTTCATTGTTTGATAGCCTCCTTAGTTCTTCCCTTTACACTTCATCCCTTGCAACAATTCCCAAATCCTCTGGGAATTATTTCCTCTCCCCTCCCTATTAAAAGGGATCAGCAACACAGAAAAGCATTTAACGTGACGTCGTTCAGATTCAGAACAGATCTTTCAATAAAGAGACAAGCAATTCACCCTCCTCAGTCACTCCTTCATGAGGATACTGTGTTTTCCACATTCTTTTCATCTGAAACATCACTTCTTGAAAACTAAGAACTTTGGCAACTTAAGGAAAAAAAAATAAAGCAGATACTGCACAATCTAGAAGTGTTGGGAGATGTCAAAAATACTGAGGTCCCAATCACTCCCATACAATATAAGAACTTAGCTTAGTGTCTCCATCTATTCAACTGAAGCATCTTATGACATTGCTCACAGGGATTCTAATAGCATCAATTATGACAATCAATCTGTTTTACGTTGCCAGAAGCAAACATTACATCATTCCATGCAGGTCAAGTCCTTTTAGAATCATTAGTGCTGCCCCTAAAGGGCTTAAACTCACAAACATACAGCTTCAAAATTGGAGTGACAGAGGTGACAGCATGAGTTCTTACACATTTCAAAACTTCCTCACACAAAGTAACTGTAGATGTAAACTGCAGCTAAAGAGAGATTACCTGTTAGCAGTTGCATATTGTGTCTGTCACTGGCAGGCAATTACATCTCATCTTCTGATGCAACATAGATCACCTAGTTATATTCTCCTACACAGCTTCAAAAGGAGAGACTACGGGAATCATAATAATCTGCAAGAGTTTAAGGACTTAAGGATGATACTGGAAAAGTACCTATTAAGATTTATATCAGCAGGACTACAAGCAGGGATTAAGAGATTCACAGCCTCAAGGAGTCACAGACAGATTTTAAAGAAGTTTCCTCCTTTACTTCTATATAGGGAAATAACAATTAAGATCCATCATAGTCCATATCACAGACAGATCTGATTGTTCTGCATAAACAATTTATACCCATTCTGCAACACGAAAATGAAAAATTTTAATTAAAAACAAGTTAACATCCTTTCTTAGTATGTCATCCTTGATGACAGCAAACAGACAACTGTACTAAGCATTAAAAATCTGTCAGTTCTGCACTAGTCCTTAAGCAATCTACAAGTTCTCTTCATTGGTCCAGTCCTTAAGCAATCTACAAGTTCTCTTCATTGGTCTGTTTTTAACCCAGAACTAAATGTGACTACTACTTGAGAGAGAAGGGACTACAATTTCTCTCTGGATTCTCAGCATTTTTGTACCTTTCTGTTCTAAAAATCCTCATCATTTGAGAGCCACAGTTAAGACTGTTTCTTGAACTCAGCTTCTCAACTCACAACTACCTTACATATGACAGCATGCATTTTACTGCCTTCTGCTTTACTGTGCAACTGTTCAGCCGCTACACTCACCCTTACAAGCTTACAGGCAGCTATCTACTGTGACCATTTCAAACAATCTAGATTCACTGTTACCACAGCCTGTAGGGTAGAGACGGACAGCTAACTACCTAACATCCTTCAAAGTAGACTTTCCTTTTGAAATACATACTGTACACCTGCCAACTATACTTTTCCCACTGCAAAAATAATAATTAAAAAAACCTAACAGTATACTTCCTTAGAAGAGGTGATGAATTCCTCAAGTACATACTGGGGAACAGGATTAACAACTCCCAAACTAACAAGTGGAACTTGGAGCCAAAGAAATTGTAAGCGAACAGAACATCTAAAGAAAGCAGCTTCAGCTACTGATTCACTAGATAAGACTACGCAAAACTAGAAGCTGTTATAGAAAGTTTTCAATATTTTTCATCCCTGCCACCTTCTCTCTTCTCAGGAAGAGGAACATGGAACAAAGTGATACGGATAGGGTATGACTCTCCCCCCTCAAGCGACCTCATGATCACATAAATTCAGTCATTAATTAATTGATCAACAACTTCAGATGAGCCAGCTGAGCAAGAGGATAGTCCTGTCAATGTTTCATTCATACCGGCACAGCTGTTTAAACCATATGAGTGTTAGGTATAACTTGCATCAATTATCTCCCTTACATCCCGAAAAAAAGTTACGTTACTTTCTAATATAGTTACTTTAAGAAAACCACTGAAAACAGTTCAGTGCAGACTAGAACTGCAACGGTCTTTTAAAAGCGTTTAGAGTAGCCCACCCATCATCAGAGGGTATGATAAAGAAAAAAAAGAAAAGTAAAGATAGAAATGATGTTCTTTCATGTCACTCTTCTGTTCTCTCATTGTGTTCTTCATGCCTTACCATTTCAGAGTATGACAGAAAGCGTTTATCACAAAGCTACCAAAATTTAAAGTGAGATTCTAAATAGAAAAATTGAAGTTAAGTTAGGTTTTCTGTAACAATGCATGAGAAGTTAAACAGGAAGAAAAAAAAAAATCACAAAATCATCCAGAAACTTCTGTTGGAATTCATCCTTAAGAAAAAATACAAACCACATGTGTGGGGGGGAAACCCCAAACCAAACCAAACAAACAAACGCACAAGAGGTCTAGAAAAATGGTAAGCTAGCAAAATAGTAGCTCGGACTTTAGAGATGTCACAAGAGACTTGGAAAAAAAAGCCGAACCCAAACTTACAAAATAAATTAAGAAGATATAAAAGTCCAACTTGAACATGGGACGGAAAAACATCAGCAATCAAAAAAATCAGAAAAGTGTAATAGATGCCTATATTCACTGGATGACACTGTCAAAATAGAGGCACCTCATTTCTGAGAAAAAGGCAATGTTATGTTTTAAACTCTGTTTTGACAGAAATCTACCAACTTTTCCGGAAGTTCACAAGAAAAGTTAACTAATTTTGGCTTTAATCTATGTCCTATCACTCTGTACTAAAAATAAAACTAATCCTTTAATAAGCCACTCTTCTATAAGTATTTCAATAGTATACATAATAAGCCTCTGTATGAAAAGACAAACCCTATGCTGTGCTATCTTGAAGATAGATATATTTATAATGTTACTAACATTAGGAAACTCTATGCTCCTATCAGTGATACCACTCCAGTAACAGAAAAGCAAGCTTCAGCAAATAAACTTTTTGCAATTTAAAATTTATCTTCCCACTGAGGCTTGAATATATGCCTGTTCAGGGAAGGGTTCTGTAGTCACTCCTTTATCACAAACGGAAGATAGGAAACAGAATTTGTTTCCAAAAAGAACAGTCTTCCCAGCCCAGGTAATAATGTAGAGCCCATTAACAGTTTCATTAAACAAAGGGGGGGGGGGGAAGAAAGGGCAGGTTAAGGGAAAAAAAATGTCCTTTCCCATGTTTGTCATAAGAAACCACAGGACTGTCACAGCACTCTCCAGGTTACTGCAGAACTAGTGAGCATAAGCAGACTATTATGCCTGCATTTCAAAATGTATGGAAAGTAAAGTGCTTCCCTTTCCACTGAGGTGGCAGATTGCCACTGTTGGAGAGATTTAAACATACAACTACCTAAACAGATTTCCACAAAATTTTCTTTGAAGCAAAGGGCTGATCTTAAGATTGATCAGATTTGGGTAACTAGCATTAGAATACGTATGAAGCAAATTTTGAATGCAAGCTTAATGAAGAAATACAAGACATTCACAATTTATCTGGTCCAGAAGCCACTTGCACAGGCATGAACTGTGCATACTTCCTTCAACAAGATGCTCGCATGCAAAATCATATATTTCTTTAAACGTTTATTAGATTGAGATCAACATGATACTGTTTAGAAAGCAGGAAGAGGCATCTCATGATTAGAATCAAGGAACACAGAACAGAACTTGAATTCTAAAACTGAGTTCTACCTCTGTCCTGATTTAAAGCTATAATTATTAATAAAATTATTAATAAAATAGTATATTAATATTGGTAGAAAACTAAGAAACTTTTAAGATTATGGAAATAAAACTTATTAGAAGCTTGGAAAAATAACTGATCAAAGGTAGTATGTGGGGGGTTCTAGAGCACAGGTTTGTTCAGATCACAATTTGTTCAGTGCTCTGGAAAACCATATAAAGTTACATGACAGAGCGTGCACCAGATGAACAATGTGCTATTAACAACAACTGGACAAGTTTGAAAGGAAGTAAGACTCAAATTCTTGCTTAATTCTGCCTATTACCTGACAAAAATAGGAGATAAAAAAGCCTCATTTGTCTAACCAGCTGAAAAAGAACATTTGATAGTGATAAAATCCTGTGACTTCTCTGAAATTCAAGTCACTGGATAAGTAGCATGACTTAAGATCCTTTTCCTTTCTAATGTCCTAACCTTAGCTCTAGCAAGTTCACTACGCTTCTGGTTCTTGTGTCAATTTCTTTTCATTAAACCACTTTCGCTTTCTTGAGGGGGGAGAGGAAGGGGGGGAAGAGCCATTTCTTCTGCTCAACCAGTCACATTCTTATATATGGGACCTGCTGAAGTGGAAGCAAAAATTATACAAAAACAGGATAAATGTTAATTTGCTTGAGCATATCTGACTAACATTTGTGGGGGGAGGGGTGGAATCTCACTAGTCAGAGATATGAGTGAGCTCAGAAATTAAAAAAAAAAATTACCCAACACTTAAAAAAAAAAAAAAATCAAAGTTTTTAAACAGTGCAAACTAAGCAATCTCATTGGAAAGTTATTTCTAAGGTTATTTTAAATTTCCTCTTCTTCAGATTAAGTGATGTTATGATTTTGAAAGTGGAAATTAGTCAAAACATACAGCTGGAGATAACGCTGCTAAAAACAAGCTTTTTTGAAGTAAAAACCTAACATCTCAAAGTATGCGCATCTAATCTTCGTATCATGGAAAGAGATGAGCTCTAAAAATTTAACTGAACTATTAGTATTCATACATGAACATTTTTTCTTCACAAAGAAAAGCAGGGAAACACTGTATAATTAGTAATCCTTTAAAACAAAATCTGCTGAATGAATAAGCATCTGTATCCTGGTATCAGACTTCATCACTACTTTTGGGAATTTTCATTAGAGCTTTTTCAGTTCAATATGTATCTATTCTGATGAAACGTAAAAGGACAAACTGAACTCCCTTACTTCTTTGGTCTTTAGTTATTTAAAAGTACACTGGAAATTCAGATTAGTTAAGTTTTTAAACTGAATATTGTGTGTAGGAGATAAAGATTGGGGGGGAGTGGCAGGGGGGAACGACACTAAGAACTGGAAGGGTACTTGGAATTCTCATCTGTAGCAACTTCCAGGAACGCAGTTTTTCAAAAATATGTTTTCCATTTTCTGTAGTTCTTCCAACCATTGAAAATTTATGTCATACTCTCACAGATCAGCATGCAAGCACATAGTAAACTGAAGCACTAGAATATTCAGTGCATAAAACAAAACGTCTTTCCAATTTGGATAGCAGATTAAACACTAAATCCCTCCAAAATTTACATGTGCTTAATTCTATGTCTGTGAGCACTTCCAGTGAAAATGAAATATAAAATATTGCAGCCTAAAATATCACTTGCTACTTCAATGATTTTTAATAACATAAGAAACAAACAAAAAATCTATCACTTAAAAAAAACGCTCAGGAATGTTCTAATTAGTAGAACAAAACCCAAAACCATAAATGAATTAAGTAGCTGCTGTTACGTCAGTTGCATGGAGTAAAAAACAAAAAATAAAAAACAAACAAAACACAAAAAAACCCACAGCAGATAGCACACTGCCATATGCCAGACCGAGTCAGAAATTGCAGTACTAGGGGAGAGAAAAGAATAAATGTTTTCCAAATGGAAACTCAGAGAGTCAGCAGCTCTCTACAACAGGTAAATTTTCCACGACCAAAAAAGAACAAGCCAACTGAAGTAGCAGTTCACAGGAACTGCTATGCAGGACTTTTCAGACTTCGCCAACTGTCAAAACATTTTTTTAGTTCTACATTTGGCTAAAGAAAGCATAGAAAAATACTGAAATCAAATAGCTATACCAGCTGATACCAGTAACTGACAACAGATCCGTTAAGGAACTTAATGCAAATACTGTGCAGAAGAACATAAATATTAAAAAAAAATTCAATAGGACAAGAAAATAATACAAAAACTAAAAAAAACCCACATACTGCAAATTAGAAGTTGAAGCAGCAAAAGAACTGAACACAAAACATACTCATTGCTCTGCTTTTTCAGACTTAGCTGAAACATAAGCCAGTTTTCCCTTCACAGATCAGTCTGTTCAGCTGGAAAGAGCATAGCTACGTAGCCATCTTTGTCAAAGCAATCAACACAAGAACAGATTTTGTTTACCTCACCTGAGGAACCAGCAGCAGGCACTGCACAACCAAGTACAGCACTTTCAGCCTGGGGAATGTTTTGAACTAACATTACAACAGGGTAACAATAATTCTGTAAAAATAATGCTCTTTCAAAATTTCATTGCTCCTTTCCCCAGGCAGTAACTCTATATAACTGCAAAGCTGCTGTCACTGGTTCATCAGAGAAAGTCACCAAAAGGATGCTCAGGTGTTCTTCTAAAGCAACTCCTTAAGAGTCAACAAAAAGTTTCCTGCAAAATTAAAAGAGTAAATGGTGGAGTGAGGATAACACACATATCTCATTCGTGTTTAAAGCAGCTTCTAATTCCTGCTTGCCCTGATCATCACACTGCGGGGAGGCGGGGGG